AGGAACGCTCTTTCAAAGGGCAAATTTTTAGCACAAACTGGATTTCAAAATGCTGTTCCGTTACATCACAGGGATCTCACAGCGTTGACGTGTTTTTGGTACAAACTCACCCATATCATGGTAAATGACATATCATTTAAATCGTCTTTTAAAGGAGAATCCATGTATGTAGTAAAATACTGAATGTTCCATTAAAAAAACAGTTTATAACGTCACGCCTAAATGGATTAAATAATAAATAAATAAATAATAAACATCACATACAATACAATCCCCTGTAGCCCTAAACTAACGTTGTGCGGGAGGGGTTACACATTGAGATACAACAGATACACACCCTAAATTGGGGTATAGTGGAAAGAAACTCTCTCACAGTTAATTTCACTGTCACGAACGGGAATCGAACTCGGAAATTTTTTGGCGAGAGTCCAATTACGTTGCCTCTCGTTCATCAGTCATATTACTTTATATATTTCAAAGTGTTCTTATACTATGTATACATTTGTGCTCGCTACCAACCCGGTTTTTGAAAATTTTCGATGTATTTTATATGAGAGACAGGATATTTGAACGATGCGAGGCTGAAGCATCCTGTATATATGAAATATTTGATGTTCGCAGTTTGTAAATAAAATTATGGGATAATGGTGTCTTTGTTTCATGGACAGTTTTCTATACCACATTGTATGTAGAACGTAAATCAGCTCATATTATTTATGCGTCAAATATGAACAGGTGGAGCATATTGCATCAATGTTGCTATGGCGCTTTCTCTCAGCTGTGTTAAGGGTGATCTCATTTAATTACCATATAACTGCAGTTTAAATTATTAACACATGTCACAATAAACTTGTCAATTATCTTTAGGTAAAGCTGAGATTATTACTCATCGCCTGCACACCCACTACTTGCAGTAAATCGATTCCTTTGATTTACATATTACGTTTTATGGCTATTGATTTTCACTTCGTTAAAAATAAGCATTCCAGTACCACGTCAATTATTTACTATTTATAAATAAATACATCGTTATTCTAGGGGTTTGAAAGAAAGTCATAAAAAATAATTGGAATTAAACCATTAGCATTTCAATATGATTAGGAATACATTAAATTTTTTTAAATATCTACTCAATTATGGGATTATTCCAGTGAATCTTAAAAATAACGGATAACAAGACAATTTCAATTAAATTTTCATGAATATTTTCATATTCTTTTCGATGTTTCAGCCTAATTGTTCAGAGATTTGACTCTATATAATATAATTAATCATTCATACCGATAGCCTGGGAGCATAGGAATAAAATATCATCTGCGTTGAGCAACTTACTGAAAATTTGTTGAAAGCAGTAGTAAATGCTTTTAGGGATCGGGAGGTAGCGAAAATGACGTCAATTCTAGGGTTGCTTCTAGGTGATGTGTCACAACGTAAATACGTTCATGCATATGTGACACAACTATTTTACCTTGTGATTATTTTGGCTAGTTCGGTAACATCCAAAGTTAACACGAAGAGGCCTGAAAGTATTGGTAAATGTAATACTAACACACACACATACATGTTTTTAACTAGCCATCACAAGAGTAAAATTATATTACTGATATTTTTGTTGTAAGTGTTCCGGAGTTAATCTCCGGCGCCTCTCATGAACAATCCATTTGTATTGTGAGAAGAACCGTTCAACGTTAACCAGATGTAATTGGCGCATATTTAAAATATGTGAACTTTTTCAGAGACTCCACACGTCTTGTGTAGAAAAACCTACTTCTTTGACATTTAAAAGGCAGACCGATGCCTTGGAAAATTCAAAAACAAAAAAGGTTTTAAGAAAATCTTTTAAAAGTCGAATAGATGTTAAATATATAAAGCATAAACTGACAAAACCAAAATGTCCTTATGACTCGTGAAGGGATGCAGATATCGACAAATGAAATGAGAAACACTCTCACATCCCCCGTCGACTTTGGCAGCCTACTACCATGTGCAAAAGTTTCAAACCCTTTGAACGAAAAAACAGTATTTTGAAAGAAATCATTAGGCGGTTGATGTTAAAAATACAGACCTTACAAACACACCCGCTAATGGGCTATCTTTTTGGGAATGTTTCATTAGGTGTTTACAATATAGTATTATATCTACGTAAAAGCCGTCTCTGGAATTTATCGCTGCCTCCCGATCCACAGTATCAGATTTAGATCATCTAGAGGGACAAAAGTGTAATTTGAATATTAAAGTATTTTTTATGCAAACTGTATTTTACAACACTCCAATATGCTTTTAAAAAAGATTGAGTATAGAAATGTTCCAAGCGGCCCCCCTTTGTGCAATTACAATAGGTCAAAGTTGGCCGATCGCTTTCAGATAGAAATATGCTTGCAACACTTCTCATCTATGTATGCTATTTAATGATGGATTCCTTATCTGGAGGTATGTTATTATTTTTTCAATATATATTTTTTTTGTATATTCCTATACATTTAATATGTATACATTTTGAAATTAATGCACCCGATTCTTTTATACGAATTACAAAATAATAATAATAATATTCCCGAGGTTATAATTTATGCTATCAAACACAGTCAAGATTTAACTATGATTTTAAAAATTTTCCATGTTATTGTAGTTTTAAATATATATATACTGTTTTGATGCGATTTTAAATTTGGTGTTTTTGTCAATATCCGTTACTTACAAGATAGGAAATATTTGACGTGTGGCATTCTAATTTGCTGAAGAACTGCTTAGCACGTGTTCTTGAATTTGTAATGACGTATTTTGGAGAAGAATACTTGCATAACGAAGATAAAATTATTAAGAAAATTATCCATGAGAGGAAAAAGATAATATATATATATATATATATATATATATATAATATATCTTTGTTAAAAGTAATAAAATACACATGGGTGACATCCACAAATTTGTTGCAAAATACATCAGTGGCGCCCCAAAAAATGTGAAAAATGGCATTTCAGAAAATTATATTTTTAGAAATTTTAAAAATATAGAACCCAGTATGAGTACCTAGTATCAATAACTATGTAAACATATTGACTTAGTTCTCATTTACCCCAAGAACCCTTACCATAATTATCAGTGACAAATAGTAATGCAAACTAAATAATATATTAATGAATTTTGGCAAATAATTTGTTTTGGGTTTTACAGAAAGCCTATTTTTAAATATACAAATGTGTCAAAAACTATACATATGTATGTTAGCATACTTTTTATAATTCTAAAAATAAAATAAAAAATAACTATTTTAAAAAAGAAAAATTGAGAGTCAGAATACATAAATTACTGGATAATTGACCCAGAAATTTATTTCCACACATTATTATTTGTTTTTCATCGATTCTCTTCGTCTCTTTAAAGTTTCAGACATACAAATCTTTTACATTTTAAGTACATGCTAATGTATTTTATTGACAATAGCGTAATTTTCTTATCTTGCATAACTATTTAGTTTACAGGAATAAACAAGTAGTCTGCGAGACAGTGAAAATTTTGATCTTAGAGAGTTCCCTGTAGGAAAGAAAGAAATTTCAAAAACGCTAGAGCTCTCATTCAGTCAAAGTCGCCCTTTAATGTTATTCGATGCTTTGTATCGAATTAGATGAAGAAGTTTAGGAAAACTAGTTTAATGGAAATCAAAAAACACTAACCACAGTGATGTAATACCAACACCATCTAGAATTCTAGGTGGTGTTGATGTACACACTCTGTGAAAATATTGCTGGCGTACCTCGAAATAGCGTCTATAGAATTTTAAACGAACAAATTTCATCCATCCATTGATCCACAATTAATAGGGAAAATATATACACGGGGGTATCAGAAGAAGAACGTTTGGGCTGAGATCTTATAGGAAAGCACATTAGCGAATAATTTTTTTATTAATGACGAATATTATTTTTGTTTCGAATTATTATTATTAGATAGCTCAATCACAAACGGCATTTAGAGATGAAATCGCTAGCAAATTATATTCCACAAAAGTTGTTTCTATTTGCATTGGTTTTAATTTGAGAGTATACTTAATTATACAGGATTTTCTAAGTTCCAATGCATGACTACTCAAAAACAAAATACTTCGATACAAAAATATATTAAAGAAACATTAAAAATACATTTTTTTTTTTTGCAAAACATCGCATTATAAGTTGAGCAATCAAAACACGAGCCCTGCAATTTTGATCCTTCTGTCCTCAATTTTAGGCATTTTTTAGTTAACAATTTTTTTTTCATCAAAATATAATGAACATGTTGCAAACAAAATTTGACCTGCATTCAAATATATGAGAAATGCGAACAATTCTAAAATTTTCGATCGTCTGTCTCTATTGTTTTAACACAGGAAAAAAAATTAAATTCAAAGTTGACTGCAGAGTTAAAATACACGAAACTTCTTTAATTAATTGTTTTCAAATGATTTCGTTTTTGATGTGCTTTCTTGAAATTAAAGCAAAATTAAATACTGACATTTCAGAAATTTTAAGTCAATTTACCTCTACTAAATCCGTATGTTTGTATTTTATTTTGTTTGGTTTGTCATTTATGAATTATTTTTTATAAATTACAAAAATTTAAACTTACTCATGTATATGTTTTCTCACTGACAGCAACATGCTTTCTGGAATTAAATTGGGATTTACTCTTACACTGCAGTAACTGCATTTCAGATGTAAATTTGGAATATCCGAGCCCTCTTAACATATGAAAATAAATTAAAATCATAGCATATTAAATCAACGCCTCCCTACGGAAAGAGTTTTCCGTTCTTATTTTAAGGCAGCATAAATCTATAAATCGCTCTAATCAAAAATTAAGACAATGGTCTTAATTTAAATAATATCCAGATTTAGTACATCAAATTGCAGGCAAATTTGCTATATTATTTTATTATTACGAATAGTAACTGACGCTATTAAATCTGCTTTTTACTTAAATTGACACCATTGTTTTTGCTTTTAGTTATCATCAATAGTGGCTTCGTGGTCGAGTGGTAAGGATACTTGCCTCTCACTCTGTTGTCCCGGGTTCCATTCCCGGTTGAGGAGCTAGTAGTTTCTAAACCAGAAATTAATCCTAGGATACTTGGACATTATCCATTATCTCTTAATATGTAGCCCTCTCCCACACAAGGTATTTTAAGGTACCTTCAGGGATTGTATTACCTGTGGTGTGTAAGAATTAAATAAAATCAAAATAGTTATGGCTATACTAGCATTACAGTAAGCGTAATCTAAGTGTACTAGTCACGAAAGCTATTTTACAAATAGTTTTATTTGAGAAAATTAATTGTGTTCACAGCACATTATTTTGCGTACCGTGTTTTGTGGACTACATTAAAATACCTATTTATTTAGAAGAATTTGGATTTTTCTACTGTGAATTTTTATGGAATTGCTAAGTTATAGGTATCACTATAATTGTAAAAATATGTATTATCTAAATATCGTGAGCCACCATTTCGAGATTTCACAAATATGCATTTTTTAGAAAAACCAATTTTCTCACTTTTGAAGGCACCTATTTAAGAGAGTATTTATCATAAAACAGTACTTCAATTTTTGCATTAGTAATAAACCCCGTCAGAAATAATTTTTGTAAATCACAGCACTAAATCAAAAATTAAAATTTTCGTTAAAAAAAGAAATAAATAAAAAAACCAAAGAAAAATTTATACTGTTATATTCAGAACTCGTCATAAATTTCAAAAATGTAAAAATATACAGGATGTTTCATTTAAAATAAGAAAGTTGGGGTAATTTCCGGTATAACCGGAAGTGCATAGAAATTGAAAATGATGAATTCTAATGCAATTTTATGTGTATAACAACATATTAAAATTTCTTCAGTTTATTTCTATAAACAATGAAAATAGAGGGGGTGAGCCAGATTTAATTTACATCCGGTATATTATTAAGTACATATGGGTGCATAGAATTACTATTCGTGACAGCTAGTTGACTAATTATAATTGAATTTCAAAGTGGACAATCGCGTGTTTCATTGCTTTACTAACAGCTTTAATCGAACTATAAATCTGAAGTTGCAAATTATCGATAAATTTTAATAAACACAAACCATTTTAACGTCTCGAAAGGATAAAATTTGTTAGTTGTAATTGTCGATTCCATACTAAATTCTAAATCCACAATTTGCCCTAATCGACACGACAACATTAAATTAATGCTATCTCCGACACGCTGGCTTTAGCACGATAATCTAAAATTAGTTTAAAATTTAAATTTGCTGACAATTTACTCACGTCTCGAGTTTTATTAATAAGACAGAAAATGTTATCTAATAATACCCTCTCAGTATAATTTTGTCAAAGGTTTTCATGAAAATTTCAATTATCTGTTGAAATATCTTTTATTGTTTTGATTTGATAAAACAATTAAAATTACGTTTTTTGTAGTTCGTTCAGATCTTTGTAGATTAGTATAAAATTTTATAAACATTTAAAAATCAGCTGAAGGATCAGCTGAGGGTTCATTGATTCAATAAAAGAATAGAATAATAAGAATAACAGAAGAGTAAAGTGATGACTGATGAGTAACTGGCGTATAAAATGTTAAAACATGGAATTCGAGTTACTTAATTTTTTTCTCTCGAAAATTAAACATTCTAAAAAAAAAAGTTAACTTTTTTGTCTAAAATGTATATACACATAAAAAATACATTTTTAAATGAAATAACCTATACTTAATTTAAATAAATAGTAGGAGTTTTAGAGGAAAATGTTCGTACGTATAGAGAAAAAATAATGTGTGTAGAATCCAACAAAGCTGCTTGATTAAATTTGTTTTACAAAATTGGCTCAATATTGGTTGTCGCAATTAAACTTAGGTTCATTTAAACCTTTTTTGGGTTACGATAACATAACGATATTGTATTTGTTGATTTGTTGAATGAATTCAGTATACAGGGTGATTAACAAAGATGGAGCCGAAGTTATATAGCATATAGAAAATAAAAAAATAAGACTCGTATTTTTCATTTTGACATTTATCAATTTTTGCGGAATTGGGAGGGGGTCAAAAATGAATTTTTAAAATAATTTTCTGTATATAACTTTTGCCTTATTTATCTGATTTGTGCCAAATTTGGTATGATGTTGCAGAAAATTGTTGAACATTATAAGGTCTCTTTTTGTCAAAATTGCAATATCACGTAACAACAAAGTAATATTCTTATCACAGTTGGCAAAAATTAAAGGTTTTCGAGATAAATGCAAAAAACTTTACATATACATTTCTTTCTACTATTGTGTTAATAAGTAATTATTATTAAAAATAATAATTCTTCAGGAATGATACTAATAATGTATACACCATTTTTGTGACACTAAACATGTAAAAAGTAATGTAAATGTAATTTTTTTAGATCCTCGGATGTAATATAAATTATTTCTGGCCTGATAGTAGTTTTTGAGTTAGTAGATACGAGTAGATAAACAAATATTTTGAGGCTTATAAAAACGTATGTTTGTCTTTTTTTTAACCTTACAAAATCAAAAATTGTTTTGACGTTTGTGACATTATTTTTGTTCATGTTGGTACATATGTTACCACATGTCAAAGACGACACATACATTTAAATTTATTCAACATAAACTAAACATTTTTATTATATAATTATTAACAATAATACATAAATGAACAAATTTAGTAACAAAAGAACACAAAATTAATTTAAGTACTACTGAAATGCCTCCCTTGTGCATCAGTGCAGGTACGGGATCTTTTTAAAAAATAAAATTTTAGTTTTTCAGCGTTTCTACGAAATTCTTCATTGTGCTGCTTTCATTTAAAACTTTATCTCTTAAATCTGCAATATTTAAACTTTTGGTCCTATAAACATTTTCTTTTAAAACTCCCCAAGAATAAAAATAAAGAGGATTGAGGTCAGGACTTCGTGGGGGCTATGATCGTGGTTCTCCATTTTCACGACCAATCCATCTTTCAACCTCTGGTTCCAAGGAATCTCTCTCAGTAGCGCCGGCAAATCATTTTTTAAGAACTTCAAATAGCTTGCTTCATTTAAATTATTTGGTAGTTCAAAGAATCCCAGAATATTAGACCCTAAGAATCTTGACCAATAATTAATTTTAATGATAAATCAAATAGAAAAATATTTGATTTATCATGAATAATTACTCATATGGGATCAACCTACCTACGTTATAATTAATTCTAAATTGAAACTGGGAATTTTTCTCAAAAATTTTATGCTGCCCGCATATGCATGTTGCTCATATTTAAATATTCACTCTTAGTGAAAGTTGCCTCATCACTAAAAAAATATTTTTGAAATAAAATTAGGCTCGCCTTCCTGACTTTGAAAGAGCCACTGGCAAAAAATTAACCCTTTTTTAGTGATTTTAAAAAAATATATATATTCCTAGCAATAATCTCTGAACTTTGGTTAAACGCGGAATGGATATAGTTGCTGATCACACTGTAGCCTGGTTCGTATTTTGCTGTGCTACAACTCGCCTCCTACTTATTGTATTATCTTCCTTCACTGTTTCTAATATTCACACTTCAAAGTCTAATATTCTTGCAGTTCTTTACCACTCCGCCATACCTCTTGCTAAATTATCCATTTTGTCTTAAGTGTCGATGAATTGTTAAGAAATAATTTCTTGATGGGATCCTTCTATTTGGATATGTTTCAGTGTGACACATCACTTTTATTACCATGCATTTAGCATTAATGAAATATATATAGTTAACTCTAAGTAAATTATCTGCATCCATTGTAAATAAGTGCAAAATTTAAGGGGCCTAGTCGGGAAAAAGCTTCGGATAGCTGTGTCACTCTCTAGAAAGTTTTTATACATGCGCCGCTGAATAATTTTGCTCTTGACTACACCTCCACTGGACGTTTTATTCACCGACTTCATTGAGGTGTGATTCCCGATAGAGGTAACACTTATTTGCTATATTTGTAGTGACAAAGATACTTATTTAGAAAATTCATTTCAACCAAATGGTACGGAATAAAAGTTTGAAACTTGCCGAGCATAATTATGAAGATTCATTCTAGACGACATGTATGAATTTTACCTAGAATTTTACCGATTGATATCATAATTCAGGAGCTAATTACGTCCAAATTTCACTTATATTTACAGTATAAATTTTCCCTACATAAAGTGCAAATTAATTAAAATAGATATACATGTACCCTCTTTCAACTATTGATCCTCTAAATTTGGTGTAATTTGACCAAACCGTATGGAAGAAATAAATTTTGAAAAAATTACCTTACAAACACTGGTTCGATTAGCCCTCTTAAATGATATACATACCTATGTACGTTCTATACAGGACTTGTCTATTTAACTTGGGCAAATAAAGTACTGCCAAGAGCGCCTTCATAAGTTTGATAAGAATAGACTTAATATGCAAACATTTTCTGCAATATACTAAATTTGACACAAATCGAATAAATAGAGCAAAACATATTTAAAGAACACTATTTTAAAAATTTATCTTTGACTCGCTTTCAACCCCAAAAATTGATAAATGTCAAAAAGAAAAAATACGGGTCTCATTTTTTATTTTATATGCTATTAAATTTCAGGCATCGTTGTGCATCAGACTGTATAAGAAGGAAATTGTAAATGGCATAAACAAAGTTTTCTCCAAAAAAAAAAAAAACAAAAATAAAAACATTGCACTGGCGGACAGAATTTTTTTTGTAGCAAACCTTAATAGCATGTCCCACTGAAATGAAGCCTTCTGATTATAGAAATGACTAGCAAAAAATCGTGACATGTAACGTTTTCTAGTTACATTAATAAAACATTATGGGCAGGAATAACATTATTGTTAATTTTACAATCTATTTAGTGCTATATATGTACATGACATATATTAGGCTTATATATATATATATATATATATATATATATATATATATATATATATATATATATATATATATATATATATATATATATATATATATATATATATATATATATATATATATATCTATATATATATATATATATATATATATATATATATATATATATATATAT